ACTTTTAAAAAATAATCATACTACATTTCCAAATTTGAATTTATCTGTAAGCTGGACATCTGAGTTCATAATAATAAGATAAATTTAGATTCCATCTCCAATTACATCGATCCTTCCACCTCCACATCGCTGTTCCAGCTTTCTACCGGCCATTCCTAAAAGTTGAAAATGCCCGCAGCTAGAAGTTCTCATTGTAAATATATAAGATTTTTTATAATTATCCCTTATATTAAGTTCCTCGATTCTTAAAGTCTCAAGACCTGAAATTATAGTGAGAAAATGAAATATACCAGGCTCTGAGATTTCAACACTAAGTTCTAAGTTTGTGTAGGAAAGCATGGCTGGAATTACCTTTTAAAATATTTTTTATTTAAAAAATATATTAATAATATATTTTTATTTTTTAAAATTATTTTTAAAATTAGTATATTAAAATAATTTAAAAATATTAAAAACATATTAATTTAAAATAAAAAAATTCAATTTTTTTCTAAAACACTTTCAACAAACACTTTCGACAGAGAATACCATCCTTAGATTGTTGAGAAGATCCTCTAAAAAGTTTATTTCATTAATATTCAATGAAAAAAAATCTAAAGGATACTTAAATATAAGAAAAACATCATAATTAATAAAAATTAAATTAATTTAAAAACCTTAATCTAAATTATATAAAAAAAATCCAATTACAAAAAAGAAAAAAAAAATCTTGAGCTTTACTAAGTCGAATTTAGACATGCTCCCAAACTAGATGAAGTTATTTTCTTAAACGTTTTAATAATAAAACCTTTTAAAAAATTTCAGCACGATATCACAATCAAATTATCAGGTTTTTATTAGTCTGAGCATCGAACTTTTTCAGAGCTCCTTCAAACATAGAAAATCTTAACAGCTACGGAGATGCCACGATGGAGATGATTATGCTAAGAAATTCTCCTCCGTTGATTTTTCATGACCAATCTTTAGAACATGAGCATCCGTCAATCCAATCACAAGCACTTAACAAGGATTCAACATTACACGTTCCATCTGCTAAATAACTAAATAGTGGTGCCCTCTCATTGTCAAGCATATTCAAAACACGAACTGGCATCTTCTCTTTTGCATTAGAAATATCATCCATCAAAACATGCCCCCAATTGCTTGCTAAATCCTCAAGGGAACTACGGCTGATCCAAATTTCTCTTTAGCTTGAATTTGTAGACAAGTTTACCAAATTCTCCTCTTTCTTCCCAAAATTTTTCAACTGTGTAAAGACCATCATAAACATAAATTGGGTTCAAATTTTTGCGCTTGCATGTACCTTCAACGGAAGATGCTTGAGGACTCTTGAGCTTTACTTTACAAATGACTCGAACGGGAGTTCTACAATCCATACTGTGCTTCAATGCAAGATTTCCTCGTTCTAATTTTTGATCTTTAAGTGGTTGCTGACCTCGAACTGCTGGATTCCCACCAGAACCAGAATAAATGAGGACATTGGAAGATTCCCTGTTATTAGCATACCGCTCAGACACGACAATGCTAGTGGCCAATGAGATCCCATTCTTCTTCATATAATCTATACCGTTATAAAAGTGACAATGAAGGCCAATTACATTCAGTTCAGCCTGAAATTGAAACTTGTCACCGATGTTAACTCCAGGAACAGGACCTACCCGTTTGCTAGTATTAATCCATCTTTGGTGATCTTTAAGAAATAATGCTGCATGTCTAGGGATGTTGTAGTCTTTCTCCATTTTTGGCTTCCTTGCATTTTCTTTCCAGAGCTTGGCAAGTACTTGATGAAACATTCTCAAGACCTCCTTCACTTTATCGCAACAAGCACTTGATTTTTGATGACACCGACCAGTTTCCTTGTTGCCCAAAGTAGTATTAAACCTCTTCGGCCTAAAACCCACTACCCTAGTAGCGTTCTTCCCATTTCGCAGAAAAATGTCATTAGAAACAGAACCAGTATTCTGATTTCTGCAACTATTTGTTATGATATTTTCTTGGGAAACAGAGTTTTGTTTCCGGCGGTCATTGGTTGAAATGTCATTAGAAACAGAAGACGTATTCTGTTTTGCAGCAGGACGAACCTGCTTGGCCAAAAAGTCTGTCAATATACCTGGAGAATGGCATTTCCTTGAGGCAGCTTCTGCAGCGGCTTTCTCTTTGGGATTGCTAGCAGAAACAGTATTTAGTAACCCCTTTTTTGAAGCAGAATGAAAATCCCGTCGCCCAAAACCACTAGAAAAATCTCGTTGGGCAGAAGATGCTTTTGACATCGTTGGATTTTGTGGAAACTGTCCATGATCACTGATATCATCACAATCACTTGAGTTCATCCCTAGATAAGGGCATTTCCTTCCGGCAATCTCCGCAGCAGCTTTCTCCATAGGCTTGGTAGCAGAAACAACTTTTTGTAAACCCTCTTTTGAAGCAGAAAGCAAATCCTGTTGCTGAAAAGCACTAGGAAAATCTCGCTGGACAAAAGATCCTTTCAATATCCTTGGAGGAGGGTATTTTCTTGGTACAACTTGTATCACAGGATGTTTTAGAAACTGTGAATGATCACCAATGCCATCTTCAGAATCACTTGAGTCCATCACAACTGGAAATCTTCCACACCCTCTGGGAGATTCACAAATCACATCTACTCTTCTGTGCTTAGACTTCAACAAACACCGAGTAGAAGTTCTGTTCCCATTCATCGTAGGTTAATTTAGCAAAAGAACGACACTTCTGCTTGTAATAATTGCACCGTCATATGTTAGGTCAAAAACACAGCACAAAGGAACAACATATATACTTACACCACATAAACATGATACATGCAGTATAAGTAAGGCAAGAAGCAATATTCTCACATTTCAAAATTAAAATCTACCGAGTAATTAAAAGAAAAATAAAAATTCACTTCAAACAACTACAATAACCAAACCATTCAAGTAAAGAAAGGAATGTGAAGGAACCTGAAGTACCCCTTGATGCTGAGAGGTTCTAAGTTGAAGTTGTAGACAAAATCTCAAGCGTTTTGGGAGATTTTATAGGCAGGAATTGAAGGGTTTCTTTCTTTCTTTTTTGTTTAGTTTGACAATTTAAAATCTGAAAAGACAGAAAATCAATAGCATTGTAGTGGGAGTGATACAATATATAGCAAAAACAAAGATTTCACAAATCCTAAAATTATAGCTAAATTGTACAGAAAATTTTGATTTAATAAACTCTAAATATCAGTAATTCTTGAACAATCAAATAAGTTCTAATAAATAAGTTAGATAACCCTATTTATACTAATCAGTGGCCTAAATCCTACTCCTTGTAGAAAAGATATCATTATTAAATATAGTCATTCTAGAATTCAACTAGCATCAAGATTCCAAAACTAAATAAAAAATAAAATAACTAAGAAAAATAAAACAAATTCTGAACAAAAACTTTTCAACCTAATTAAGGCATTGCCACAAATAACTTAAATACAATTTTAGAAAAGATGTATTCATGTAGAGTTTTCAAACCTAGAAAAAAACTTCTCACCACACATGAATTATTGATGCTTAAAAAATCAAAGCTAGTGCCTAAACTTCAAATTTGATATTGCTTTTGATAGATTCCTTATTGCAAAGATCATCAGAATTTACCTTTACCAATTCAATTTTATATATAAAAAAAATCCTTATTCAATAGAATCCAACTAGCATTGAGATTTTTAAACTAAAAACTAAAAATAAAATAAATAATAAAATTATTGAAAAATTTCAAAAACTCTTACAATTATAATTCACCCACCTCCTTCCCTTCAAACTAACCTCTATTGCTACGACGAAGTCTCATCCTTAACACAAGCCCTATACTATGGTTGTGGTGACTAGGGTAGAAATTTGTTTCCTTTCCCTGCAAGAAGTTTCTTTCCTATGCTTTCTAGGAATGGGGGATGACAATGGAATCCATGCATCAGGTTTTGTACTATACAGTGTACGGATTTTTATACTCAAACCCAACCGAATCGGGTTTCAAGTATCCGTAACCTAAATCCAATCCGACCCGAAACCCTATTGATTATCCCAAATGTTTCTGCAGTTTCAAGAATCACAATACAGTGAATGACTTTATCTTACAGTCAGCAACTGCCAGAAAACAGTTTTAGAGCTAATATTGGAGCAAATATGAGAAGCTGAGCACAGAGCACAGCTCTCAATATTATGGTAGGAAGAACATAAAAATTAGAGTAGTGGACTGCTTCGAAACAGCCGAACATTAACATGCTAAAAAAGAATTAAAGAACTCCACTTGTAATCCTCGTAAATAATGTCCTCTAAAGTTCCATGGAAACACTAAATCTGAAAGGACACTTTGGAAGAGAGCATGACCTAGAGTTGCAGCGCGATGTAGATCTGCACTCGGAAGACATTTAGGCAAGCTGTTCCTCCCGCGAGTTAGTATGGTTGTCACAAGAGAGAGCAGAATAACAGTGACATGAGCGGCTAGAGCGAAGAGAGTATCAAGTGATATGTTCAGGTAAAACCCTAGATTTTCTATATATGCATCGATATAAATGTAATTGTTTTAAAAATTTTAAAGTAATATATTTGATTATTTCGGATACGGCATAGTGGCATACCCATCTAAAACCCGACTTAATCAGATCAAAATTAATTAATTAATTATTAGACGCTGGAAATCTTATATCATTTTTACTGCATCTTTTCGAATTAGAAATTAACTTTATTATTTATTTTTTTAATAAATCATTTTATTTATTATAAAATATTCTAATACTTTTATTTTATTTTACGAAGAGTTTTGATACCAATAACTAAAAATAAAAGATTTATCCCTATATCCATTAAAATCCAAGTCTGAGCACGGAAGCTTGTCTACATAATTTTAAATTCATTTTTATTTTGTCCATGATCCAAGACTAAACTAACCAATATTTTGTTCACTGTTTATTTATATACATTACAAAGACATGGAAATTATTTATTTTGTGCTCATAAATTACAAGAAAGGATCTTTCATTCCTTTTCAAATTGCCTAGGAGAGGAAATGAACAGTAACAACCTAGCTACAGTATTTTACTTACTTTTATGAATCACAGAACTGCTAATGAAGAAGGTACTTCAACCAAAGGGAGATGAAATGATTACTGGGCGTTCATGACAGCACATATAAAATACAAACTTAAGAGAAGGATTCTGCCCAGGAGGACGAAGGAGCTGGATCACTGTGAGTAGTTTTTCATGGCCATGAATGAACTATTCAAGGGTGTTTTTTTGCAGACTCAAAGCTACAAGTTTAATTTTCTTCATTGCTCCCTTTTAAACACGAAGATATCCACTTCTTTTATCTTTCAGAATTACTTGTTAATCATGTCCTTTGTGAAAGAATACTAATCAACCATTGGAACCAATTGTTCAAGAACAATCAGAAGATATATTACAAGTGTAAGAACTGAAATGAAAGTGCATCATACCTGTTTTTGGTGCAGGCTAAGCAAAATTTATTGAATCAAGAGCGAGCTCCTGTCCAGAAACACTTCTCTTGGTCAGGAAAGTTGTTATCACACAAAATTCCCACAGCCTTTTCGTATTGTTTTTCAACTTTCCTCTCTTCTCTCGTGTGTCTCTTCTGTCAGCATTCTCTCCTTTTTTTTATAGGTGGACATGAGTCTTAAGAGTCCTTTAGCATTAATGAAGGACGGGAAAGATATCAACCCTTGAATTCTCCATGAACCTGCGCTTGATATCATCCTGGGTGCTGGAGTTTCAAGAGCTAGTGACGGTTGCCACTTTGCTTGATTCGTGGGAATGGATTGTGGCATAAAAACGGGTTTTATTTCCTCAAGATTGTAGCTGGAATGACATAATGTGTGCATCACCTTTTTTTTTCTTTTGTTAAGAGACGATCATGGGTGGAATGTGAGGCTGAAGATCAGACATCAGCTGAGTTCGCGGCAGGTTCAACGTTTTTTCCAGGAATATGAAGATCCTTTTTTTTTAAGAACGACACGTCGATTATAACTATGGGTGACACGTCGCTCCATATTAAAGAAAACGACAAGTCGTTGTTTAATGCTCTCATTGGGGTTAACTTCCTAGCCAACGCCGTTTTACCAAGAGCCACAATTAATTCAGTCCCTCAATGTCTGCCAGTGTTTTATTTTAGTCCTTTATTCGATAAACTTTCAATTTAGCTTTTTGGACTTTTATCTCCAAATTTCTTTCAATTAAGCCTTCAACAAACATAATGTGAACCCAGCATGTTTCCAGTATTACACTTTAGTCATTATGTTCCCAAAATATTCAATTTTAGGCCAATTTTGTTCTTTTTTTTCCTTAATCTATTTCCATTTTTTCCCTGATTGAATCGCAATAGACCCCTTAATTTCTCTCCCTTTTATATTTCAGTCATTGACTTGCCAAATCTACAATTTTAGACCAATTTAAACTACTTTCTTAATTTTATTTCAAATTTATCCCCAAATTATTTATGAATTTATTTAATTTAGTTTTTGGCCTTAAACTCAATTAATTGTCTGATTTCCCAATATTTTTATTATTGTTGTTAATTTTTTGTTTTTTCAAAAAAACTGACGTGGTTGAAATTGTTTTATGAAAATAATTATGGCATTTGACTTGAAAATAAGAGAATGAAATATCATCTCAGTATCAAACAGTTTATGTGATTGAGTTTGAAATCCCTCTTCCATTTTTCTTAATTAATCACTCTTCTGAAATTTGAAACGATCAAAGATCGAAATCTCTGAATTTATATCTCTCCCTGGCCTTCCCGTTTGTTTATTGAAAAATATATTTTTTTAAAATAAATTTAAAAAAAATAAATTATTTTTTAATATTTGGTAGTGTAATAAATAATAAGTTGAAAAAAATTTCCAGTATTTGGTTATATCATGGAAAATAAACTAGAAAATAACTTATTACTTTTTTATTTTAATCAATTTTATTAAAATAACAAGAAACAAATCTTAAAAATTAAAAAATTGAATGGGAATGAAATTGAAAAAAATATAATTTCATAAATTATTTCAAATAAAATAAATAATAAT